ACTCGTCTACATCAGGTCGCCAATTTCCGATTGACAATATATCATGAGAAAGTGACGAAAACCTGTTCACTCTAATAGCCACCTGCAGTTTAAGTAGAAGTTAGCTCAACAGCTTTACCATCATACGTAATTCACACTTGTTTCGACCACTTCAGAACCATCGACAATTCAGATAGTTTTGCAAGTTGAAGCAACATTTCAAGGAACCCAGGATAACTTCCAGTCTAAGTCAGCTACTTGTTCTGGTTAATTTGACGTCTACAACACAACTGGAATCAACAGCTCAGTCCAAACTGGCAATCATAAGGAGTCTTACACCATTAACAGCACGATACCATTAAAAGGAAAGATGATACAAAACAAACAGCTACTGACAATTTTAAGAGATCAGAAATGATTCAATTACATTAAAGTTCTCATTTGATTATGCCAAAGCCTCAATTAATAAGCCTTAATAGCCGTATGAACGAGACCGGCTAAGCTTCCCAGAACGCCAATGAGATGAGAAGATACGGAATCTAAGTACTGGTAATATGTGAAAGCAAATGGAATGGGAGTGGTCTCACCAAATTGTCAACGGGTGAGTCAGTGATATACTCCGGTCGCCCAGAAGATAACCACACGCACACCGTGGGTGTGGCTATCATGGTGTCACCAACCGCAACGTGTGTAGAAACCTATCATACGTGTGTAGATACGGATCACGCACTGGTCCGGGCTCGTGTGTGCTTACGACTGAACGGACGTAGGAAACAGCTGGCGGTAAAACCATCACGTCCCCAGCTCGATCAGGAAACTAAATCCCTATTTGAGGAAGAACTAGCTAAACGCATATCTGAATTCGACAGCTGTGCTCACCCTGGAGAAGCCTGGAAGAATATTCAGTCAGCTATAGATACAGCTGTAAAAGCTGTGAATAAGGCAAATCCAAAGGTGAGTAAAAACCACTGGATTTCGACTGCCTCATCCGAACTGATAGATGCTAGAAGACTTATTCCGGCGAGCTCCGAATTCAATGAGGAGCGAAAGCTGCACAAAAGGAAACTTACTAAAAGTCTCCGCAAGGACCGTGAACAGTGGTGGGTGACAAAGGCAAAGAGATGGAAAAAGCATCGGCGATAGGCAACTCTTTAGACTCATCACAGAATCGGGTGGGAGAAGGCAATTCATAAGTGAGACTATTTCTGAGAAAAATGGCTCCTTAATTAGCTCTCAGGATAGACGCCTTGAACGCTGGAAAGAACACTTTGAGGAACAATTTAACTTGCCTACAGCCACACTGAACCTCCCCGCCATCCACCACGTACCCGAATGGGATATAGACACTGGTCCGCCGTCTGTGAGTGAGGTTACAAAAGCTATCAGTAATTTGAAACGAGGCAAAGCGGCAGGACCCGACGGAATTATTCCGGAGGTGTTTAAATATGGGGGTGACATACTAGTTTGTAGATTAACTGAGGTACTAGGCAAAGTCTGGGAATCAGAGACAGTACCATCAGACTGGGGTAAGTCACTTATTATACCGATATTCAAGAAGGGAAACAAGTCCTCGTGTGATAATCATAGGGGGATCAGCCTAACGAACATAGTCTCTAAAATCCTAGGCTCAGTAATCATGCATAGACTAAGCAGAACTCGGGAGGAACAGACAAGGGAAAATCAAGCAGGCTTTAGACCAGGTAGAGGGTGCATAGATCATATCTTCACTCTTCGACAGATTCTAGAACATAGACACACTTTTCGGCGTCCAACAATTGTCATATTTCTTGACTTGAAGGCGGCCTTCGACTCCGTGGATCGAAAGGTACTATGGCAATGTCTGACTGTGAAGGGAGTGCCAAGAAAGTACATTGCACTAATCAAGGCACTCTATTCAAACTCACGTAGTCGTGTAAGGGCTTATGGGGAATTGTCATCTGAATTGGTAACAACCAGTGGTGTCCGACAGGGATGTCCACTTTCCCCATTTCTGTTTAACTTCATCATAGATATGCTAATGGAAGTATCCTTAACTGAACGTAGTGACTTAGGAATCGACTTGTTACCAGGGAATAATCTAATGGACTTAGAATATGCAGATGACATAGTCCTGTTAGGGGAGGATGCTGACAAAATGCAGAGTCTTCTGAACACCTTGAGCAGCAATCTTCGTATGTTTGGCATGCGATTCGCCCCTGCAAAATGTAAGATGCTGCTACAGGACTGGACCACGTCAACCCCTAACTTAGTGATAGGGAGTGAAGTGATAGAACATGTTGACCACTTCACCTACTTGGGAAGTTGTATTAGCACCAACGGACTGATTGGCGATGAAATCTCAGCACGGATCCGAAAAGCTCGAGCTGCTTTCGCTGACTTACACCATCTCTGGCGTAGGCGTGACATCCGGTTATCAACCAAGGGACGTGTGTACTGCTCATCAGTTCGCTCCGTCCTTCTCTATGGCTCTGAAACATGGCCAATACGCGTTGAAGACATGAAAAGGTTGACTGCTTTCGATCATAGATGTCTGCGATCTCTGTCTCACGTTAGGTGGTTTCACAAGATAAGTAATGTTGACGTTAGGCGTAGAGTGTTGGGCAAAGAGGGAAAATCAATCGACGAGGCTATAAAGTTACATAGACTAAGATGGCTAGGTCACGTGCTGTGCATGCCTAACCACCGCCTCCCCCGACGGGCATTGCTAGCTGATATAGGTTCAGGTTGGAAAAGAGCCAGTGGTGGCCAAACAAAAACATGGCCTCATCAATCCATGAAATCCTTGACAGTTAAACTGAGTCAGGTAGGGAGATGCAGACTCCCGGGTTGGGGCCCTCGGGACTCTAGGAATCAATGGCTGGAGACAATAGGTGACATGGCTCAAAATCGTTGTCAATGGCGCAGATGTATTCAGTCTCTGTAATCTTTCATATTCCTTTCTACCATTACCCATTCTGTTTCACTCTTATACTTGTCAAACTCTATTGATTCTCTTCACTCATCTTCTTGTCTACCTCTGTGTGCTATTTGGAACGTGGCAACTCGAACTGCTGCACTTCGGTGCCAAGTTCTATGTTGAATCCAGACAGACAGACAGACCAACGGCAACGAAAGCTTTGATGCAATGGGAGGCGATCTCGTCCAGGATAATGACCTCCAGATTCAACTCCAAAGGAATGAAAGTGTCAATCATCCGATGTTATGCACCCACAAACAACGCGGACGTCGAAAAGAGAGAAGAATTTTACAGACAACTACAGGCAACAATGAACAATACTCTAGCTGGCGACATGAAAATACTAATGGGAGACATGAACGCCAAACTGGGACTAGACAACACCGGAAGGGAACTCATCATGGGTAGAGAAGCTCTTGGAGATATGAATGAAAACGGAGAACTCTTCGCCGACTTCTGCGCCTTCAACGAACTAGTGATTGGCGGCAGCGTATACAAGCACAAAGATATCCACAAGGCTACATGGGTGTCACCAGACGGGCAAACCAAATTGACTTCATCTCAATCTCAAGGAAGTGGAGGCGCAGCCTTACGGCTTACGGGCTTACGGCGAGCTGTCATCTGAAATGGTGACGACCAGTGGCGTCCGTCAAGGATGCCCATTATCTCCTTTTCTATTCAACTTCATCATAGATGTGTTAATGGACTTAACCCTAAGTGACTTCAGCGACTCAGGGATTGACTTGCTACCTGGGAATAATCTCGTTGACTTTGAATGTGCAGACGATATAGTCCTTCTAGGCGAAGACGCTGACGAAATGCAGAGTCTTCTAAACACCTTGAGCCGCAATCTACGAATGTTTGGCATGCGATTCGCTCCCGCCAAATGCAAGATGATGTTACAGGACTGGACTACATCGACGCCTAGTTTAAAAATAGGAAGTGAAGTGGTAGAGCACGTTGACCGCTTCACTTATTTGGGAAGTACCATCAGCCCCAACGGGCTGGTCTCTGACGAAATCTCAGCACGAATACAGGGGGCTCGCTTCGCATTTGCCAGTTTACGCCGACTCTGGCATAGATGAGATGTTCGACTATCGACCAAAGGGCGGGTGTACTGCTCATCAGTCCGCTCCGTCCTCCTTTATGGTTGTGAGACCTGGCCACTGAGAGTGGAAGACATGAAAAGACTAGCTGTCTTTGATCATAGGTGCCTGCGCTCTATTTCCCGTGTAAAGTGGCATAATAAGGTGAGCAACATTGAGGTTAGGCGTAGAGTTCTAGGTAAACAGGGGAAACCAATCGACGAAATCGTGAAGCTACAAAGACTGAGATGGTTAGGACATGTGTTACGTATGCCAAGCCATCGCCTCCCTCGACAAGCAATGTTAGCGGATATAGCGTCAGGCTGGAAAAAAGCTAGCGGCGGTCAAACAAAAACTTGGCTTCACCAGTCAATGAAATCCACAACAGTTGGTCTAAGCCACGTAGGAAGGTGTAGACTTCCAGGCTGGGGTCCTCAGGACGATAAAAATCTATGGTTGGAAACAATTAGTGACATGGCTCAAAATCGTTCTCAGTGGCGCAGATGCATCCACTCCTTGTGACTTATGATCTCCAATGAAACTGTTTTGTTCTTCGTTATTACTCCTTTGTCTCACACCCCTGCTCACTGTTTCTATTATGCTTTTCTTGTACATTCTTCTCTTGCTTCGCGTGCTACACGGAGTGTGGCGACTTGAACTTCCGCACATTTGTGCAAAGTTCTATGTCGAAAACAGACAGACAGATTGACTGGTATATTAGTATAAAGACTAGTTATATCAAAACTAACCATTTTTTCATCATTCTCTAGTTGAATGTCGTTTAGTTTATTTTTCATCTCATATGAATTAGTTAGTCTAGAGTTTGAACGATTTCTAATGGGGCATAATATTAGAGCTAAGTGTTTTGATAATTCATAAGTAGGACTATTCCTATATATATGTATATATATATATACATTTATATATATATACAATATATATATATATATATGTATATGTTTTTTTATTTTTAATTTCAGCATTCGGAAGCAGAAGTCAACCGAATAAAGCATTCTATGACGACGCGTCCGCAAACCCTATCAAACTGAGAATTCGCAGGCAAGTTTAAGTCCTACTGCTCGCTGAAATATCATTTAGTCTATGGAGTATTGTGTTGCGTAATAATATATTTGAACTTAACAGTGTATCGGTTTTATTACTATCATGAATTTATCACTCACTGACAGTAGTTAAGCGTATTTGCCGTCTTATGGCTATTAAGGCTTATTAATTGAGGCTTTGGCATAATCAAATGAGAACTTTAATGTAATTGAATCATTTCTGATCTCTTAAAATTGTCAGTAGCTGTTTGTTTTGTATCATCTTTCCTTTTAATGGTATCGTGCTGTTAATGGTGTAAGACTCCTTATGATTGCCAGTTTGGACTGAGCTGTTGATTCCAGTTGTGTTGTAGACGTCAAATTAACCAGAACAAGTAGCTGACTTAGACTGAAAGTTATCCTGGGTTCCTTGAAATGTTGCTTCAACTTGCAAAACTATCTGAATTGTCGATGGTTCTGAAGTGGTCGAAACAAGTGTGAATTACGTATGATGGTAAAGCTGTTGAGCTAACTTCTACTTAAACTGCAGGTGGCTATTAGAGTGAACAGGTTTTCGTCACTTTCTCATGATATATTGTCAATCGGAAATTGGCGACCTGATGTAGACGAGTTGACGTTGATTCTAATTTATTTGCCTTTATCATTAACTAACTGGATTGGATGTAGAAACGACAGTTAGGTTACAGCCTTTGAGACTCTGAGACCACATGATGAATTACTTCAGTGTATTATTTAACCTTCAGGCCTCGCATTATGCCTCTGATAATTTCCTGAAGGAATAATGACGCCTCAGAAAAGAAAATTAGGAATAAGTCTGCTTCGTATATTGGACTGCATATTGAAAGCTCGCAGTTACCGACATAGTAAAGGCTTATCTAATGGAGATACTTGTTTATCGTCGGTGTGAATTGTGTATATACATGCTGTTGTATTTGAACATTGTAGGTGGGAATATTCATTAACTTGCATAATTGATTGTCTTTTCAACCGTACTTGACCCTCACTGATTTCAGCACACATCTTAATTAAAATAAAGCGTTTTCTCAATGATATGTGGTGAATAGAGTTTTAATCTACTTATTACCAATATGTACATCAATTACATCACCTAAATATCTCTCATAAAAAGTTATTGTGTAACATTTTCTTTCTTCCCTCTAGACTAACTCAGCTATTGGTGATAAAAGCGGTAATCATAACTCAGGGAAAAGACACCTACGCCCTACCCGTTATAAAATATATTTTCCGAATATTTGTTCTTGACGTCAAGCAGTCGGTGTTTTCCCAAACTTTCTACAGACACTCGTGCAGTTTTACGGGCAAAGTATAACAATGAGGGCAACCAGAGGAGAAACATTTTTGAACAAAAGTTAGAAGAAATTAAACAGCGTGAGATGGAAAAAGCTTTAGAAATAAAACTACTTCGTAGGCAAACTATACACAAGCCGGAACCCATCAGACGATACAAATAAGTCAGAATTACTAAGATCACTACCTGATTGGATTTTACAAATATAATTTTATAAATGACTACCTGATTCACTTTATGTGTTCACTCCGAATACAATCCATTATGTGTATTCTGAATTCAGACAGCTTTACATCGAACTTGAGGAACTCACCGAGCACCTTTAGTGCGACTGAATGGTTAGGAGAGTCATAAGATTGTAAAATATACCCTACCGAGATTCAGTCGGTTCGAACGAAGAATGTCCTTTTCATTAAATTCTCTTAAGGCCTTTAGAATTATAAAACGTGTTATCATTATGATAACAGATATGTTTATGAGAATGAGCTAAGATTAGTTAGACCGTCTTTCAGTTTCGGGGTGAATGTTGGACGGCTGCTGGAGGATGAGAAGGGTAGAAATTTCTTTTTGCCCCTCTGATTAGATGTCAGGCTAGAGTATCTCCCAGCCAAATTAAACTTTTAGCACCACTAACTACCAGCGGAGTGCGAGTGCACCAATGACCTTGAAACACTCACTGAGCAAGTTAGTGAAACCTGGCAAATTATGTTGTCATTATCAATAAAGTATGCTCATCGAAGTGTTATGCTATTAAATGGGATTTCTGTTAAGTTTCAGCTTAGGTTTGGGAAAGATTAAGTTACGCCTTGAACCAAGGACAAGTTAGGGTCAGGTCAACCTAACAAAGGCAACGCTAGGGTTGGTTTGACTCAGATTAGTTAGTTCAGGGATATTTTCACGTTAGGGTCAGATTCAGGAAAGATTAGGGTTGAGGGACTTGAATAATTGCAAGAATAGAATGTGGTTAAATTACTCTGTTGATACAAGAATAGTACTTGTGCACTATGGTAGAGTATAATTCCATTGTGGATCAAATTTATTTTGATAAAGTCTCAGTATTATACAGTAATATTTACTGATGACGTTTCGAACACAATTTATCGCTTAGGAAATTTTACTGTATAACACTGAGACTTTATCAAAATAAATTTGATCCACTATGCAATTATACTCTATACTCTTTTCCCTGAGTTATGATTACCGCTTTTATCACCAATAGCTGAGTTAGTCTAGAGGGAAGAAAGAAAATGTTACACAATAACTTTTTATGAGAGATATTTAGGTGATGTAATTGATGTACATATTGGTAATAAGTAGATTAAAACTCTATTCACCACATATCATAGTGCACAAGTACTATTCTTGTATCAACAGAGTAATTTAACCACATTCTATTCTTGCAATTATTCAAGTCCCTCAACCCTAATCTTTCCTGAATCTGACCCTAACGTGAAAATATCCCTGAACTAACTAATCTGAGTCAAACCAACCCTAGCGTTGCCTTTGTTAGGTTGACCTGACCCTAACTTGTCCTTGGTTCAAGGCGTAACTTAATCTTTCCCAAACCTAAGCTGAAACTTAACAGAAATCCCATTTAATAGCATAACACTTCGATGAGCATACTTTATTGATAATGACAACATAATTTGCCAGGTTTCACTAACTTGCTCAGTGAGTGTTTCAAGGTCATTGGTGCACTCGCACTCCGCTGGTAGTTATTGGTGCTAAAAGTTTAATTTGGCTGGGAGATACTCTAGCCTGACATCTAATCAGAGGGGCAAAAAGAAATTTCTACCCTTCTCATCCTCCAGCAGCCGTCCAACATTCACCCCGAAACTGAAAGACGGTCTAACTAATCTTAGCTCATTCTCATAAACATATCTGTTATCATAATGATAACACGTTTTATAATTCTAAAGGCCTTAAGAGAATTTAATGAAAAGGACATTCTTCGTTCGAACCGACTGAATCTCGGTAGGGTATATTTTACAATCTTATGACTCTCCTAACCATTCAGTCGCACTAAAGGTGCTCGGTGAGTTCCTCAAGTTCGATGTAAAGCTGTCTGAATTCAGAATACACATAATGGATTGTATTCGGAGTGAACACATAAAGTGAATCAGGTAGTCATTTATAAAATTATATTTGTAAAATCCAATCAGGTAGTGATCTTAGTAATTCTGACTTATTTGTATCGTCTGATGGGTTCCGGCTTGTGTATAGTTTGCCTACGAAGTAGTTTTATTTCTAAAGCTTTTTCCATCTCACGCTGTTTAATTTCTTCTAACTTTTGTTCAAAAATGTTTCTCCTCTGATTGCCCTCATTGTTATACTTTGCCCGTAAAACTGCACGAGTGGCTGTAGAAAGTTGGAAACACCGACTGTTTGACGTCAAGAACAAATATTCGGAAAATATATTTTATAACGGGTAGGGCGTAGGTGTCTTTTCCCTGAGTTATGATTACCGCTTTTATCACCAATAGCTGAGTTAGTCTAGAGGGAAGAAAGAAAATGTTACACAATAACTTTTTATGAGAGATATTTAGGTGATGTAATTGATGTACATATTGGTAATAAGTAGATTAAAACTCTATTCACCACATATCATTGAGAAAACGCTTTATTTTAATTAAGATGTGTGCTGAAATCAGTGAGGGTCAAGTACGGTTGAAAAGACAATCAATTATGCAAGTTAATGAATATTCCCACCTACAATGTTCAAATACAACAGCATGTATATACACAATTCACACCGACGATAAACAAGTATCTCCATTAGATAAGCCTTTACTATGTCGGTAACTGCGAGCTTTCAATATGCAGTCCAATATACGAAGCAGACTTATTCCTAATTTTCTTTTCTGAGGCGTCATTATTCCTTCAGGAAATTATCAGAGGCATAATGCGAGGCCTGAAGGTTAAATAATACACTGAAGTAATTCATCATGTGGTCTCAGAGTCTCAAAGGCTGTAACCTAACTGTCGTTTCTACATCCAATCCAGTTAGTTAATGATAAAGGCAAATAAATTAGAATCAACGTCAACTCGTCTACATCAGGTCGCCAATTTCCGATTGACAATATATCATGAGAAAGTGACGAAAACCTGTTCACTCTAATAGCCACCTGCAGTTTAAGTAGAAGTTAGCTCAACAGCTTTACCATCATACGTAATTCACACTTGTTTCGACCACTTCAGAACCATCGACAATTCAGATAGTTTTGCAAGTTGAAGCAACATTTCAAGGAACCCAGGATAACTTTCAGTCTAAGTCAGCTACTTGTTCTGGTTAATTTGACGTCTACAACACAACTGGAATCAACAGCTCAGTCCAAACTGGCAATCATAAGGAGTCTTACACCATTAACAGCACGATACCATTAAAAGGAAAGATGATACAAAACAAACAGCTACTGACAATTTTAAGAGATCAGAAATGATTCAATTACATTAAAGTTCTCATTTGATTATGCCAAAGCCTCAATTAATAAGCCTTAATAGCCGTATGAACGAGACCGGCTAAGCTTCCCAGAACGCCAATGAGATGAGAAGATACGGAATCTAAGTACTGGGAATATGTGAAAGCAAATGGAATGGGAGTGGTCTCACCAAATTGTCAACGGGTGAGTCAGTGATATACTCCGGTCGCCCAGAAGATAACCACACGCACACCGTGGGTGTGGCTATCATGGTGTCACCAACGGCAACGAAAGCTTTGATGCAATGGGAGGCGATCTCGTCCAGGATAATGACCTCCAGATTCAACTCCAAAGGAATGAAAGTGTCAATCATCCGATGTTATGCACCCACAAACAACGCGGACGTCGAAAAGAGAGAAGAATTTTACAGACAACTACAGGCAACAATGAACAATACTCTAGCTGGCGACATGAAAATACTAATGGGAGACATGAACGCCAAACTGGGACTAGACAACACCGGAAGGGAACTCATCATGGGTAGAGAAGCTCTTGGAGATATGAATGAAAACGGAGAACTCTTCGCCGACTTCTGCGCCTTCAACGAACTAGTGATTGGCGGCAGCGTATACAAGCACAAAGATATCCACAAGGCTACATGGGTGTCACCAGACGGGCAAACCAAATTGACTTCATCTCAATCTCAAGGAAGTGGAGGCGCAGCCTTACGGCTTACGGGCTTACGGCGAGCTGTCATCTGAAATGGTGACGACCAGTGGCGTCCGTCAAGGATGCCCATTATCTCCTTTTCTATTCAACTTCATCATAGATGTGTTAATGGACTTAACCCTAAGTGACTTCAGCGACTCAGGGATTGACTTGCTACCTGGGAATAATCTCGTTGACTTTGAATGTGCAGACGATATAGTCCTTCTAGGCGAAGACGCTGACGAAATGCAGAGTCTTCTAAACACCTTGAGCCGCAATCTACGAATGTTTGGCATGCGATTCGCTCCCGCCAAATGCAAGATGATGTTACAGGACTGGACTACATCGACGCCTAGTTTAAAAATAGGAAGTGAAGTGGTAGAGCACGTTGACCGCTTCACTTATTTGGGAAGTACCATCAGCCCCAACGGGCTGGTCTCTGACGAAATCTCAGCACGAATACAGGGGGCTCGCTTCGCATTTGCCAGTTTACGCCGACTCTGGCATAGATGAGATGTTCGACTATCGACCAAAGGGCGGGTGTACTGCTCATCAGTCCGCTCCGTCCTCCTTTATGGTTGTGAGACCTGGCCACTGAGAGTGGAAGACATGAAAAGACTAGCTGTCTTTGATCATAGGTGCCTGCGCTCTATTTCCCGTGTAAAGTGGCATAATAAGGTGAGCAACATTGAGGTTAGGCGTAGAGTTCTAGGTAAACAGGGGAAACCAATCGACGAAATCGTGAAGCTACAAAGACTGAGATGGTTAGGACATGTGTTACGTATGCCAAGCCATCGCCTCCCTCGACGAGCAATGTTAGCGGATATAGGGTCAGGCTGGAAAAAAGCTAGCGGCGGTCAAACAAAAACTTGGCTTCACCAGTCAATGAAATCCACAACAGTTGGTCTAAGCCACGTAGGAAGGTGTAGACTTCCAGGCTGGGGTCCTCAGGACGATAAAAATCTATGGTTGGAAACAATTAGTGACATGGCTCAAAATCGTTCTCAGTGGCGCAGATGCATCCACTCCTTGTGACTTATGATCTCCAATGAAACTGTTTTGTTCTTCGTTATTACTCCTTTGTCTCACACCCCTGCTCACTGTTTCTATTATGCTTTTCTTGTACATTCTTCTCTTGCTTCGCGTGCTACACGGAGTGTGGCGACTTGAACTTCCGCACATTTGTGCAAAGTTCTATGTCGAAAACAGACAGACAGATTGACTGGTATATTAGTATAAAGACTAGTTATATCAAAACTAACCATTTTTTCATCATTCTCTAGTTGAATGTCGTTTAGTTTATTTTTCATCTCATATGAATTAAATAGTCTAGAGTTTGAACGATTTCTAATGGGGCATAATATTAGAGCTAAGTGTTTTGATAATTCATAAGTAGGACTATTCCTATATATATGTTTATATATATATATACATTTATATATATATATATATATATATATGTATATGTTTTTTTATTTTTAATTTCAGCATTCGGAAGCAGAAGTCAACCGAATAAAGCATTCTATGACGACGCGTCCGCAAACCCTATCAAACTGAGAATTCGCAGGCAAGTTTAAGTCCTACTGCTCGCTGAAATATCATTTAGTCTATGGAGTATTGTGTTGCGTAATAATATATTTGAACTTAACAGTGTATCGGTTTTATTACTATCATGAATTTATCACTCACTGACAGTAGTTAAGCGTATTTGCCGTCTTATGGCTATTAAGGCTTATTAATTGAGGCTTTGGCATAATCAAATGAGAACTTTAATGTAATTGAATCATTTCTGATCTCTTAAAATTGTCAGTAGCTGTTTGTTTTGTATCATCTTTCCTTTTAATGGTATCGTGCTGTTAATGGTGTAAGACTCCTTATGATTGCCAGTTTGGACTGAGCTGTTGATTCCAGTTGTGTTGTAGACGTCAAATTAACCAGAACAAGTAGCTGACTTAGACTGGAAGTTATCCTGGGTTCCTTGAAATGTTGCTTCAACTTGCAAAACTATCTGAATTGTCGATGGTTCTGAAGTGGTCGAAACAAGTGTGAATTACGTATGATGGTAAAGCTGTTGAGCTAACTTCTACTTAAACTGCAGGTGGCTATTAGAGTGAACAGGTTTTCGTCACTTTCTCATGATATATTGTCAATCGGAAATTGGCGACCTGATGTAGACGAGTTGACGTTGATTCTAATTTATTTGCCTTTATCATTAACTAACTGGATTGGATGTAGAAACGACAGTTAGGTTACAGCCTTTGAGACTCTGAGACCACATGATGAATTACTTCAGTGTATTATTTAACCTTCAGGCCTCGCATTATGCCTCTGATAATTTCCTGAAGGAATAATGACGCCTCAGAAAAGAAAATTAGGAATAAGTCTGCTTCGTATATTGGACTGCATATTGAAAGCTCGCAGTTACCGACATAGTAAAGGCTTATCTAATGGAGATACTTGTTTATCGTCGGTGTGAATTGTGTATATACATGCTGTTGTATTTGAACATTGTAGGTGGGAATATTCATTAACTTGCATAATTGATTGTCTTTTCAACCGTACTTGACCCTCACTGATTTCAGCACACATCTTAATTAAAATAAAGCGTTTTCTCAATGATATGTGGTGAATAGAGTTTTAATCTACTTATTACCAATATGTACATCAATTACATCACCTAAATATCTCTCATAAAAAGTTATTGTGTAACATTTTCTTTCTTCCCTCTAGACTAACTCAGCTATTGGTGATAAAAGCGGTAATCATA